GTGATCAATTCTTCTGGTACACCGAGGCGAGAACTCCGGGATCAAGAAAGCCCTCTGTCGTTGCCACAAGGTAGAGGGTCTGATTCAGCTGGTTAACACAAGCTCGCCTATAGACGGCCAACTAAAAGAGCACATGAGCACACACACACTGGGGCTTCAGAAGCTGTGAACATTCACCCCTGGACACTGTGCTAGAGGCTTCAGCAACAGGGCACTGAAGAAGCGAGTTACTCCCCCGTCACACGCCCTGAAGGGAGACAAGGGAACTTTTCCCATTTCACTACTGCTTGTGGTACCAATGATTTCCATTTCTGAGGAGACTACTCCCTTGAAGAAAACATCTATTGTTAACATCTGTATAATATATAGAGAACGACGCAGGCTAGGGAGTCAAAGAGACACACGCCTGCATAAATTTGGGCAAAAAAAGCTGTCTCATTTCTCACCTGTAAAATGAGGCTCATGATCCTACCTCATTGGATTACTGCGAGGCTGAAATGTGATAAGATGTGAAAAATATTCAGCACAAGGCCTAAGGACATAATCAAAATTACTATCAATGAGGAGGAGGATTTGCCAAGGAATTCTCTGTTCAGTGTAGATGCATGCTATTTATGTGTACAATACTGAAATAGCTTATGTACTATGAGTAGAGGAAAAGGCTGCTTCATTTTCTTAGGACCTGTTAAGAGAAAAAAATGAGAAGAAATCCTAGTTGTTCAATCAGGATGTTTTGCTGTGTTCAGAAATTGCTTAATCTCTTTGAGCCTTGGTTTCCTTCTCAATAAAATGGGGCTCATAAGACCTACTTCATAGGGTGCCTATGACATTTAAATGAGTTAGCAGATATAAAGCAGATAGTACAGTCCCTGGCTGAAAGTAAGAAGCTTTATTATTACTGTTCTTTGCTTTTTAACTCACTCTCTAATGATCTCACTGGGCTTTAATCAGAATGGTAGTGAAGAAATCCCTGTTTAAAAGAAAGGGAGGGGAGAAAAACAACTCCAGTCATTTACTAATGATTTTTTCCAATGACAAATAGAACAAACCTGACTCTTGTTTTCTAGTGAACATATTCATAATTATTGAACGATATCTATTCCAGCTCCTCACCAACCTGTGATAAGTAAAACAGTTTCATGGTCATCAAAAATCTTGCAGAGCTTAGGCACAGGCCAGAGCAGCGGCTATGCAAGCAACATTCTAGCACATTTTACAGAGTGGATCGGGATTCCAGAATGCTGAGAGGGGAGAGAAAGAGGCCTCCGGACCAGCTATTTACTTTTCCATTTCCTAAAAACAAACAGCAATAACAGCAACAAGAACAATCCACAAACGTTTAGACTAGCAAAGGAAAAATACTACTTTTTAAAAAAATGATAAATAAATCAGGAAATCCCTTTGTCATATTTTAGTTTACAATTAAAAATAGAAGAATTTCTGTAACTTCCACTCAATTTGCATGAAACTAAAAGTGTTATAAAAAATAAAGTCTATTTTTTTTAATAGAGGAGAGCTGGATCCATTTGGGCATATTTTCAAAAGGAAAATAGAATTTTAATGGACCTTATTTTTAAATTTTGCACCAGGTGAAATTGTATAGAAATGCATTTAACAATGAATAGATACCTTTAAAACCAAAAACATTTGAAAAGCACTTGCATAGTTAATATTTTATTTTGTCCTCATTACAATCCTGTGAAACAGCTATGCTGAGTTTATTATTCCCCTATCTTTATATAAATGGGACTTGGAGAGATTAATAATAGGACCAAGATAACAGCAAGTTGTCACAATAGTCAAAATCCCCATTCACGTCTCCTTACTTCTTCCTCCAGCGCATCACAGTGCCTTTCACACAGAAGGAATATGATATAAGGAATTGGCTACAAAGATACTGGAAGGGCTGGAGAGGAAAAAGAGGAAAAGAAACACAAGTAGAAAGTGATGTGTATTCTTGTGGTTAAAATTATTGGAAGGAGAAAAGAAGAATGAGACTGAAAGAGAGGACGAGATGTTCTTAGAGTCTAGTGAGAGGTCTTGGTCCCAGTTCATCATCCAAATATATGGTTTCTCAGGGAAACTTAATACCCACATCTTGTGACATTGAACCTAGCCTCTTTATTGATTTTTGCCTTAGAATAAAAATACAGAAAAAGAAAAAATTACTTTAAAAAAACAGCATAGCAACAGAGAGCATACAAGATTTATAAGGCATTCCTGAGAACTAGAATCATCCGTGGCCTCCTGTTTTGATCTGGTGCTGCAGTCCCATTAGCTCCCTGAGCCAGCTGTGGCAGGCAGAAGCTAGGAAGGAGGACTAGGGCCCACTGAGGTACGTTGGGAAAGCGGGGCTCTCTGGATGTATCTTGTTTCAGGAGCTCCTTGATCTAGGAACACTGCAGAGTTTGATGAAGGCCTGAATGCTCTTAGGCCTTCAACATTAAGGCCTTGAACCTGTAAAACTGATGTTAAGACCCATAACATTCCTGGGTATCAACCATATACTCAAGCATAGACTGAAATAAAAACTGTAGTCATGATGTCAAATGACTGGGTGTCTCACAGTTAGAATTCGTATTTATTGACTTTACTATTTGCCAAATATTTTGCTAAGTGCTTTTATGTATAATCTCATTCAGGCCTCACCAAAACCTTATGTGGTGATTATTTTTATTATTCCCATTTTAAAGATGGGACATTGAAGTTAAGAGGTTAAATGCCTTTCCCAAAGCCACACAACTAGTAGAAAGGGGAGCTGTGACATGAGTCCAGACAGTTTGACAGTAGGGCACGCTCATAACCAGTGCCATTTTCCCTTTCTGTCTTCTCTTCCCTCCCTCCCTCCCTTTCTTCCTTTATTCTTTTCCTTTTTGTTTCTTCTCTTTCTCTTTCTTTCTCTCTCCCTCTCCCTCTCTCTCTCTCTCTCCCCCCCTCCCTCTCTCTTTCTCTCTTTCTCTCTTTCCCTCTTTCTCTCCTTCTCTCTTTCTTTCTCAGGGTCTCTAGAGTGCAGTGGTACCGTCATGGCGCTACCTCCCAGGCTCAAGCAATCATATTCCTGCCTCAATACAACACACACCGCCCCGACAACCCAACCAGTAGCTGGGACTACAAGCGCATGCTCCCAGAACTGGCTAATTTTTGTATTTTTTTGTAAAGACAGGATTTCGGGACATCGTTCAGACTGGTCCCGAACCCCTAGGCTCAAGTAATCCACCCATCTTGGCCTCCTCAAGTGTTAGGGTTACAGGCATGAGCCACCACACCCAGACCAGTGCCATTTTCTTTCACTCATTGGAAGGGTGACTTTTCCTTCCTAATTCCTATTCTAAACCCCTCAGTCCTGCTGGGCATGAAATACCTACTGTTGTTTAGCCAAGGAAAGTCATAAAGAATATAAACCACAATTTGCTTTCTAAATATATTATACTCATAGATAGCCCATCAATTACAGTTCTTTATACCAAGCCATAGGTCACTTTCTTTTCTGCACACAGGGCACTGTTCTTTCCCAAAAGGTATATGGGACATAACTGGCATGACTGACTCATGCAGCAACTACCTTTTTAAATAATTTTATTGTTGTTGCTGTTTTCCTCCTGGAGGAACTCGGTCCTAAAGCAACATTATAGCTCTGACCTAGATGTTTGACTTAGGAAATTTAAAATGTCATTTTATAAACGCACCTAAGGTCAATTTGGCCTTTAAAAAGTAGACGCTAACAATAAGACTAAATAAAGGGTAAGATGGGACGGCAAGCTGGAATCTGAGGATGTGAACATTTTCAATCGGCTTCATGGAGTCTTGTTTTATCTTTTATTTTGCTATCTCCATGTATGTTTATTTGCGTGGAATATTTAAACAATAATACATTTCTTAAACTTCTGTTAATACAAAGGAATTTCTAATTCCTATCTAAGACCAGAACAACAATTTACATTGTATTATTTCAATGAATTCATCAGCCACAAATTATTAATTTTTCTAGGCATAAATAATAGACATAAATTTGGAGAAATCCTATCAGAAAAGAGAAATTTAATGAAGGGAACATGCCATCTTCTACTTAATATACGACATTTGCCAAAAGAAGATAAGCATGCTAACCAGAATTTCAACACTTTCTAGGTGTTAGGAATCTTCACCTTTACCGCTAATATGTAAGTCCTCCTCTTTCACCTCCTCAGCTCATGCCAAGCCCAAGAGTTACACTGCAGTGATTGGGAGCCACTATCCTGGCCTCGAAAGATAATCACCCTCTGCACAGCTAAGTACTTGGCACAGCCACGGATTCAGGAGCACCAAAGAACTCTGAAAAAGTAATATTTAATTATTGCTTTTTTAAACATATGCTTAAATTGCATTTTCCAGCTGAGGAGTCGTTTCAACTATCATCTATATCTCACTCACAAAGGAAGGTTCTCAGGCCAACTTGGCACCTTTGAGCAATTCGGCTGATCTGGAAATCTTTCAGCTTCCCAGTTAGCATCCTTCATGTTCAAATCCAGGTGCCAAAACTTTTACTGCGCGACAGAACTACTGCTTAACTGCCTCTCTCACCTGCTACTGTCACTGAGATATAACTACCACCATGCTTAGAGCTACTTCAGGAAAAGGATTGTCAAGCCATATGTTACAAAGTGACTGCTACATGTCCCTTAGCTGTTTCAGTCAGTACAACTGTGAGATTTCTCACCCAGCAGCAGTTTTCAGCCCATTAGATGGATCAGTTAAACCAGGGATTTAGCTCAGGACTAACAGCACATTAGGATAATCCATATGCCTAGAGTGACCCACACACTCTACTGGGATAGTCCTGGTCTATGCGTGTTGTCAAAATACAATGATCAATATATCCACCTCCGCTGTGAAAGTTGTACCAGTTTAGATAACTATTATATATGGTCACTTGGACAATACCTATTAAAGACCAAGAGACCAGGATAAGAAGTATCTTAAAGCAAATACCCAGGATAATAGGCTTCATAGCTGACCTCACTTCCCTCCTGGCAGTTGCCAGAAATTCCACTGTTAAATCTTCAAACCATAACGTTTTGTACTTTGGTACTTATCAAAGTGTCTGAAACAAAATATTCATCCATTTTGTGAAATGGAACATGTCAAATCACAAGGCATATTGCTCATTCATACAATCAAAAAGGTACTTATGGTATCTCTGATGTTTGCAGGCATTGCGCTGGAAGCTGGGGATCTACAATGAAGCAGGTATATTTACTGTACTGAAGGAGGTAACAGGCTCACGGGACAGACTGATTTAAGGTGCAGTTTCAGTGAGATCAGTGGTATAAATCTTATGTACTGTAGGAGTACACAGAAGGGCCAATTCATTCAGCCTTGAGAAATCTAGGGAGACTTCTTGGAAAATGTGACATACAACTAAAGGACATAAAATAAGATAGAGTAAGGTTCTTTTCTACATTTTATGTGCAAAGACACATTAAGAGACCTGAAAGTCTTCAGCTTGGCTGGAGTGAGGATGGAAGGAGTGAGTAATGAGGCTGGCAGTGGGAGGAAGAGGAGTACAGGGAACATCACATATGCCACGTTAAGAAGATGGACTTTATCCTTGGGTCATGGGGAACCAGAACAAGGTTTTATATAGAAAAGTGACTTGACCAGATTTGATCTTAGAGTGGTATCTCTGGCTACCATATCATCACTATAGGTAGTATTTTTTGCTCTTATGCAAAGAAGTGGACATCACTTTTGTGTTTTATTTGAATGCTCTGAATTCACTGTGGAGAACAAAAATTCTCCTTCATCAAGTCAACCATGACTCAGCAGTGAGATACTCTGGGTTGTTTCAAGTTCCAGGGCTTAATTTTCTGGTGCCTTTACCCACACCACACTAGGCTGACCGTACCTCAATTTCCTGGTCTGCAAAATGTGGACTGTTGTAGTCACCCTTCACATAGGGTGATATGAGGAACCACTAATGAGAAGGAGCCAACTTAGAAAAAAAGTATTACAGAAATGCTTAATAAGTTCAAATAGCCAGTAAAGATTAAATGTGTGTGTTCACGTGTTCGAGTGTGCAGCAGAAGTGTTTCAACTATATGATTTAATGATGTGGAGGCTCATTTTCACCAGGGCTGTCTGTACCAGCTTCAATCTGAGGCTAGGGTGGCAGCCCTGCTCACCAATTAAGAGCAGATGGCAATCTGAAACAATCACTGCTTAAAAGTGTGTCCCTGCACTGAGACTTGGACTCACTTTTCCAAAAGCCCTTCTCTAAATCTGCTGATTCCAGCCCACAACTTATTAAACTACTTATTACCACTGAGTCTCTCCATCCCCTCTTCAGATATTTCAAGGGACCAAACATTTAATTTTAAAAGAGTTACCAATAACAATAGTCATCATTTATTGAAAGCTGGCTATGTGCAATGCATTGTTCTAAGTATTTTGCAAGCATTTTCTCATTAGTTTTTCACAAGAGAAAGTTATGATTCTTCCCCATTATATTTTTTGTCTGAATACTTTAGAGGAGATTAAGTCTGCCCATCCAGAAAGCAACAGAACTTGAATTATAACCCAGGCTTGTAAAAGTCTAGGTTTATTCTCATAACCTCTGCACTGCTCTGCTAAAAACTATTAAAAGGGCTCTGGCACTGCCATCTTCTTGCTGGTATGTTCCCACTCCTACCCATCCCTGTGGCTCATATCTTCACTGGCATGTGAAGTTGCTGTTTCCAGAATGTGAGTCAGTCAAGATAGAAAAGTTAATTTATTTTAGTGAATATGTGTCAGTGACACTATTTTTAAAAAGTACATCATGACAATTTGCACATCACATAAAATCTCTTCATTGGGATGAACCAATATGACCCTGAAAGGGAATGCATGATCTGCCCCACTGTCCATGTTCCGTCAAGAGTGCCTCAGCAGTTGATGGTTCACATCCGCATATTCAAAAGGTAAGAAAACTTCAGCTACTTTTCTGAGAAATGGATCCAACAATGGAGAGTAGAAATATTACTTAGGTAAGTTCCTTTGGGGCATAGATTGGTAAATCCTATCATTCCTTCTTGCCATATTACACATAAAAAAAAATTGATTGTGATGATTGTATTACCAAATAGTACTTTTTATAAAGAGCGTGCCAACGTTTAAAACTGAGCTCCATGCAAGTTCTCCAACTGTACTTCAGGAATTTCAGATATGATTTAAATTCATTTTTAAATAGATTTCTTAAATTATTTTAAGACTTAATTAATTATACCTAATTAATATATTTAATTACAAAAAATTAATAATTATTAATGTACCTAATTATTTAAGACTTATCTTTAAGACAATTCTAAAACATTCAAAACTAAATCAAATCAAAATTTAAATTAAATTTATGAAATCTAAAATTAAATTAAATTAATTCAAAATTAAAAGCATATTCAAATTCATACACTGCCCCACCACACACACACCCAGGCTAAACTCCAGGCTTATGTATCCAGCTGCCTACTTCATAGCCATGTTAAGTACAATGTGTCCAAAATGAAAGTCTTGATCTTCCTCACCCCTGCCTCCTGAACTTGTCTTTTCTGCAATCTTCCAAAACATCTTACTGGCAACTCTCTCTTGCCCATGTCTAGATTCTTTCTTGACTGATCTCTTCCCTCACATCTCAGATCCCAATCTAGCATCAAATGACCACTTCTGCTGACCTCTACTGCCTTCACCCTATATGGGTTATCATCATCTCTCACTGGAGGGCTCCAATAGCTTCCTAATTGATCTTCCTTAGTCTGACCTTTTGCTGTGAAAGTCCATTCTCAACCCAGCAGTCAAAATGATTCTTTTAAAACTAAGTCAGATCTTGCTTCTTAGATCACTTCTCTCAAAATCATCCAATAGGGAGTTGTCTTCTGAGAAGGCTAAAGTCCTTTCTGTGACCTACAAGACCTGGCCCACCACTATCCCTTATGCCTTGCTGAATTCATATTCCAGGACTAGCCCATCTAGTGGACTCCACTCCAACCACACAGCTCTCCTGGATGTTGCTCAGACACCCAAGGCATGTTGCTGCCTCGGGGATTTTGCACTTTGGATAGTCTCTGCCTGCTCTTCCCCAGAAAGCGGGTTTCTCTCACCTGTCTGGGGTCTTTGCTCAGCGATGACTACCCAAACCATGCTACTTAAAATTGCAATCTCCCACCTCACACTTGGGAGGTAAGAGATTCTAAATCTATTCCCTGCACTATTTTTTCTTCACAACACCAGTACCTGATAGACTATATATTTAATATGTATTTGTTCAATGTCTGCCTCCTCAACTAGAATTTAAGCTCCATGAGATAGGGATGTCGATTTCTCTATTTCTACTGCTACTTCCCAGTACAGGATGTGAGCATTGAACAAATATTTGCAGATGAGGCCAGGTATGATGTAATCCCTGCACTTTGGGAAGCCAAGGTGGGAGGACAACTTAAGCTCAGGACTTCAAGATCAACATAAGAAACATGGTGAGACCCCATTTCTACAAAAAAGAAAAAGAAAAAAGGAAGTTAGCCAGCATGGTGTCATATACCTGTGGTCCCAGCTAACTGGCAGGCTGAGGTGGGAGGATTGCTTGAGCCCATCAGGTTGAGACTGTAATGAGCTGTGATTACACCAGTGCACTCCAGCCTGGATGACAGAGTGAGATCCTGT